CACCCGCCCCGGCAGGGAGGGCTGGGGCCACGTAGCTCCAACCAGGAAACTATAAAACTTTACAGAGTGCGGCTGGAGAGAAACAGGAATCGCTGCAGCGGCTGCCAGAAGGGCCAGCGCTGGATTCACAAGATTTTCCAGGGCTCGGACTCGCCAGGAAGGGATTTATCCACCGAGGAGGAGCCGTAAAAACTAAAATTAAATTCTTCATCTTGGAAAGGGAGGGGGGAGAGAAAGGAGAAAATGCTTGACCTCCCCCCCCCCCCCCCCCCCAAATTCCCAGGGTGCCCTTGGCCAAGCTGGGAGTGGGTCACAGGCTTCGGATAGAAGCTGTTTTTTGGGGCCACGTGCTCTCCCCAGGGATGCACGGAGAAATCCCAGCTGGGGAGAGCCCCTGGGGGGGGGGGGGGTTGCTCAGCCATGGGGCTCCATGGGGTCACGGCTGCTGGGGGTCCCCAGGGAAGAGCCTTCCCACCCTCCTGGCCATGGCATGGGGATGCTCCCCCAAGTGCCAGGAGTGAGGACCAAGGTCTGGCAGCGTTTTGTGCCGCGCCTGAGCCCCGTCCCACCAGAGAAACGGCAAAGAAATGGCTGGGCCATGGCAGGCGCCGCGTTCCTCCCCGGCACTGCCATCGTCTCCGCGCTGGGGAGGAGCACGGGAGCTGGATGGCCTCTCTCCCCCAGCGCTGACGGCTGGCCCCGGGCCCGGTGGCTTGGAAGCACCGTCGGAAGCTGAGTCCCAGTGTCAGAAATCCAGGATATTTTTAAGGAGTCTGGAAGAAAAACTTAATTCCAGGGTGTCAGTGGGAGAGATTTGGCCTTCAAAACAACAACAGTGCAGCAGGAGGCTTCCCGGGGCTGGAGCGTGGGGTCCGAGGGACCACGGTGAAGCCCGTGGGATGTGTCCCCTCACCCGGGAATGTCCTGGAAGGGACACGGATGCCGTTGTGGCCTGGACCTCGATGTGCTGCCGCTGCTGCTGCCCACCCCGGGCAGGAGCGGGGAGGTATTTCTGGGGGGCAGAGGGTAGATTTTGGGGCCAGTGGCTGTGCTGGGCCACGGTGTGCTGTGCCCAATGCAGCTGGGCGCTCATGGGGTGGCCCAAAATCCAAAAATCCCCTTATTGGAGGTCTGTGGGAGGCGGGGGCAGAGGGGACTGGCAGGAGACGGGGCAGGACGTGGCAGAGACCCGGTGCCTGTGATAGCCCCCTGCTCTGCCCCACTGCAGCCCCGCTGGCCCCCGGGGGACCTGGCAGTGCCCGTGCCCATCTGGGCGAGGGCAGAGCTGCAGGACCCCCGGGGGTGGGTGCTCCTGAAGGGGCTGCTCTGGGGAGGGGGAGTGTGTGCCACTCGGGTTTAGGGGCACCAGTGGGGGCCTGAGGACACCTCTGGGAGCTCCGTGCTGGGCTGCAGGGCCTTGTTTGGAGGCTGTGGCCCTGTCCTGCCGCTGCCACCCTCACCCCACCTGGGTCTGTCCCCCCCCCCC